CAGGGGAGCGGGGGTTCCCTCCCCGCCGAAGCCCCGGCTCTTGTGCGCGGAGATGGGCTCGCTCCCAGGCGGCATCTGCTCGGCCGGCTGCCGGAGCGCCAGCCCGGCTGCTCTGCCAGGCGCCTGGGCCGGCGTCGCGCAGCTCCTGCTGTGAATTCACGCTTCTGCTTCCCGTCCTTCTGTACCCGCTGCCGCCGCCGTCCGAAACGGCTTTCAGCGGCGTGAATTTCTGGGGTGCTGCAAGGGAGAGCACGTCCCGGGTTTGGGAGAGGGAGAGCGGAGCCCGCAGGAGCTGGCGGCGGGGCTATAGCCTGGGCCCCTCGGCGCCGACGCTGCCGGAGGAGATGCTGATAGATTTGGGGTGCGTCTCTAACCGCAGTATAGGATGGTCAGGGTGGAGTTACTGCTGGAAACGTGACCTGTCTCCTCCTGCCCCGTCCTGCCAGGCGCCGGGCCCCCTCCTCTCCCGCTCCCCCTGCGCTGTTCCCGCGTACCCTAATGCCAGGATCGCACCCTCTTCCCTTGCAGAGATGGGCGACATGGAGTCCTACAAGGTGATGCTGAATGGGCCGGCGCCCTGGGGCTTCAGGCTGCAGGGAGGGAAGGATTTCAGCATGCCGCTCTCCATCTCCAGGGTAAGAGAAGCTGAGACCGGTGACACCCACCCTTCCCCTGCCTCTGCGGGTGGGAGCCGTGGCGGCTGCGTCCAGGCAGCCGAGGCAGAGCCGTATGGGGGATGCGGATGAGCCAGGGCCCCGGGAGCGCCGCGTCCTGCCTGGCTCTGCATAGCTTCCTCGGAGCCTTATCAGCTGCGGTCCGGCACGGGGGTGTTCCGGGCAGAGGACCGCAGATGGGCAACGCTGTGCAGCCTCTGCGGAGTCATCCTGGCTGCTGCGGGGGGCAGGGGGGGCCCCTTCCGGAGCGTGCCCACCGCAGGGGGAGGGGAGCTGCTCTCACAGTCTCCAAGCCGCGGGGCCGGCTTCCCGCTCTGCACCGCCACATCGGGATCAGCATCCCAGGACCCAGCTGGTGCCCTTCTGCCCTCCCTCCCACTGCACGGCTCCACACCTGAGCTGGCCCTGGAATCGGCAGGGGGGGGGGGGAGGCTCCGCTGCCGCCCGTACCGCTGCCCCCCTCTGCTGCCGCCTGTACTGCTGCCTGCACTGAGACATGCCTCCCCCCACAAAACCAGCCCGTTCCTTCAGCGAGAGCAAGAGCCGTCGTGCTGCCGGCTGCTCGTGGCTGAGGTGCGAGCTGCTCCCTATGTGATGCTCGCCCAGGCCAGGTCCGGCCCCTGGGTGCGTGCAGGTCCCCGTCCCTGGGTGGCCAAGTCCCCTGGGTGGGTGCTGGCCGCAGCTCCGGCCATGCAATTGCCTTATAAGCCTTGGAATGTGACTGCATCGCCCGTGCCGCTGACGCTCGCTCGGGCAGCTGGCACGGAGGCCGCTTCTTGAAGGACAGCTTTGCTTGTGGCGCTGCGTGGGGGCCTGCCCCCGGCACGAGCCCGGCACCGTGCGCCTGTCCCAGAGGGCAGGGATCTCCGCAGCACCCCAGCGCAGAGCACGGACCCCAGGGGCACTCTCTGAGGCTGGAGTCACCAGCGCTGCTGCCCCAGGGCCTGCTGATCGCTGCCGAGCAGGCAGAGACGGCTTCAGCCAGTTTATTCTCTAAAAAATGTTTCTCTTGGCTGCGAGCCAGCGCTTAACAAAGGGTCTGGTCGGATGGAGGAGCCTCCCAGGGCCCGGGGCAGGGGCCTCGTGAAGCAACAGCCCCGCTGTGCGCGCAGGCCAGCGCTGCCCTCGACGCTGTCGTCCTGGGCAGGGCAGGCAGGAGCAGCGAGGATGTTCCCAGGGGATGGAGCCAGCTTTGGGGGGGCTCTGTGGTGAGGCTGGGCTGCGGGGCGGTGGGCCCTGTGTGATGGGAAGGGGCGACCCCACGCAGCTCTGCACCCCGGGGGCATCCCCAGCCCTAAAGCTCCTGCCTGGAGCACGCTGCCGTCCTTGGCCTTGAGCGAGGGTGCTGGCGGCAGGGTGGGCTGGAAGGAGGGGTCCTGCCCCGGATTTGAGGGCTGTGGTGGGGTCCTGCTCTGTGGAGCCGGGGAGCGCAGGGGGGAAGCAGCGCTGGGCTGTGCTTTGGCTCTTGGCTGCATCCATTGCTGTGACGTTACTGGGTGAGCTGCGAGGCTGCTTCAGCTCGGTGGTCGCACAAAAGAGGTGCCCCCCTGGTCCTCTGCGCCCATGCTTCTCGTGGCACAGGGCTCTCTACCAGGGTCCTGGCACCTTGGCGAGGCGGGCTGTGAGACCGCGGTCCTGAGCTGCTTGCGGTGGAGCCGCAGGATAAGGGCTGGCGTCTGGGGAGCTGGATGCTGCGTGGGATATCCCGGTATCTGCCAGCCGGGGAAGGGGAGAGACCCTTGGTGCTGCAGGCGCTGGGGGATGCTGCCTGGGCCCCTGTGCAGGCACCCCGCTCCCCTCTGTGCTGGGTGAGACTCCGTCCGGGGTGCCCGAGCCGTGGACGGGGGCGGCTGGGGGGGCGCGGGGCCGGACGGGGGCGGCTGGTGGGCATCGCGCCGGGTGCAGCGATGGAGGCAGGGGGAATAAAGGACTGGCTGGGCGGAGAGGGGAGGAAGGAAGCCCTGGTTGGCAGGGCTGGGTGGGAAGCGGGAGGGCTGGCACTGCCACGGCTCCCAGCTGAGCTGGCACCTGCCGAAGGGGTTTCCTGGCATGCCGGCGTGGAGCGGGAAGGCGAGCGTGGCGGCGCTGGCCAAGCTGGGTGCGGCTGGGTGACGCAGCCTGCCACGCTCTCCCCTTCCTGGGCAGCTGTGTGAAAACCTCTCCCAGCTCCCGCTCCTGCCTCCAAACCCACGCAGCCGCCCCGCACCTTCCCCAGCCCTCCAGGACAGCAAGCTGGGGCTTGCCGCAGTGTGGCCAGGAGCCGGACGGCGCCACTTGCCGCCTAGGGCACCCTCCCGTGCCGGGTGGGAGGAGCGGGTGGGGGCACCGGAGGGGGTACCCATGTCCCGCTGGGGATGGCAGCGGGATGCAGGTGGAGCCGGGCTGCATCCAGCCGGGGTGCTGGGTTTGGCCTCACGTGGAGGGCCAGTGCTGGCACGGGGAAGGGGAGCGCGGCCCTGGGGCGAGCCGGGCCCTGCGCATGGGCAAGGAGGGGCCGGGGCTCGGCGGCAAGGATTTTTCAGCCCTCTGACGGCGCTGGGAATCTGGCTCGCTCCTTTTATGTTCATGTCGAACAGGACTTGAGGAAATACTTGGTCCGGGTCCAAGCGCCTCGAGTTCTTCCATGCT